TTTGTCGTCCCACTGATACCAGGTTGTAGTCCAGTGTCGTGGTTTTGTCGTCCCACTGATACCAGGTTGTAGTCCAGTTTCGTGGTTTTGTCGTCCCACTGATACCAGGTTGTAGTCCAGTGTCGTGGTTTTGTCGTCCCACTGATACCAGGTTGTAACCCAGTGTCTTGGTTTTGTCGTCCCACTGATACCAGGTTGTAGTCCAGTGTCGTGGTTTTGTCGTCTCACTGATACTAGGTTGTAGTCCAGTGTCGTGGTTTTGTCGTCCCACTGATACCAGGTTGTAGTCCAGTGTCTTGGTTTTGTCGTCCCACTGATACCAGGTTGTAGTCCAGTGTCGTGGTTTTGTCGTCCCACTGATACCAGGTTGTAGTCCAGTGTCTTGGTTTTGTCGTCCCACTGATACCAGGCTGTAGACCAGTGTCGTGGTTTTGTCGTCCCAGTGATACCAGGTTGTAGTCCAGTGTCGTGGTTTTGTCGTCCCAGTGATACCAGGCTGTAGACCAGTGTCGTGGTTTTGTCGTCCCACTGATACCAGGTTGTAGTCCAGTGTCTTGGTTTTGTCGTCCCACTGATACCAGGCTGTAGACCAGTGTCGTGGTTTTGTCGTCCCAGTGATACCAGGTTGTAGTCCAGTGTCGTGGTTTTGTCGTCCCAGTGATACCAGGTTGTAGTCCAGTGTCGTGGTTTTGTCGTCCCACTGATACCAGGTTGTAGTCCAGTGTCTTGGTTTTGTCGTCCCACTGATACCAGGCTGTAGACCAGTGTCGTGGTTTTGTCGTCCCAGTGATACCAGGTTGTAGTCCAGTGTCGTGGTTTTGTCGTCTCACCGATACCAGGTTGTAGTCCAGTATCGTGGTTTTCTGAATTTGTCTTGCGCTTCTCAGGTGGCTTGAGTAATAGAAGAAAAAATGATTTTGCAAGTTTCAGCTGCACCATTTATCCATCTCTTTCTTTCTCTCACCTGCCTCCCAGATGTTCTGCTATAAAAAGTCTCGTATGTTTGGTCTGGCTGCATTCTCACTTGCTGGCCGAACCATTTCATACTTTGTCTGTCAATATAATCCAGACATCCGCTTATTCCAACTTTCTCTCGAATGCTGGTATTCGTAACTCTCTTCCTTCTTGTGTTGTTAGTTTTTTCATGTTTTATCCTTTCAAATCTTCACTTTGTAGGATCAACATCTCAAGGATGAGAATCCAACCGGTACAACTCCGAGAAACCTCGTTAACCGTATAGCCATATAGCACACTTATATTGGGGCAGATTAAAACGATTACGAAGTAAATCATGGTCCAAAATGGGTGGGATCTAAACATTCCGTGACAGGATTGGCCTTATCAATCACTCATTGGGGTTCAGACCTCTGACGCGTTTTTTTTTAGAAAGGGAGCTTAAAGAACGTGAGCCTTTTTAGAATTTATACTAATAATAATGATAGTGAATAACAATAATAATAATAGTAATAACAAGTAATAATAATAATGTGCCGAAGGCAAGTAAGTATCCGAATAGTTTTGAAAAAAAAAAGGATATGTATAAACAAAAACTGAGGGGGTTTCTGTACATCTTAGCCTAGAGGTTTGGGGTGTCTTTCAGCCCTTCTATTTGTCTTGGGAGAAGGGGCCCTAATGTACCCAAACCAACAGGTCCAGTTGTCTCGATGTTGTCTTGTATTGAAATAATCCATCTTGTTGTTCTCTTCTCAACTGTCGACGACCTACTGTGTAGACAACATGTGTCCACCTATTTCTTTTAAATAAATACTACCACCATCATACTTCAGCATGGGCGGTCACGTTTTGCCATCTCATACGATTACTAGAATCTCGGATCGGATCATTACTCTTGATTGATAGGGCTATCATTCGGTTGTCCCCTCTAAGCTGCCAGCTAAAGGTTTAACATTCTATCCTAAGATTTTTTTTTTTTTTTTAATAATCTGAACGGCTGAACAATAAAGCATTGTTCATCATTCATTGTAAAGATCATCCCCATCGCCATATCGAACAAAAAGGCATTGTTCATTGTTAATTGTAAAGATTATCTCTATCGCCACATAGATGTATCAAAGCATTGTTAATGGGTCATTGTAAAGAGCATCTCCATCGCCACATCGAACAACACTCCTGCATGACCCGGAGAAGATATCCAAAGACTGCTATCAGGGAATTGTAACAGTGTAACATATCATACATATCAAAGGAGGCCACTTATGAAGGTTGTCGCAATACCTGCTTCTCCTCGGGCAGTGGAAAGCTGCAGGAGTAAAATCTAGTCAATGATGTACATGGTACATGGATGCACAGGTGTTGACCCAGATGTGGTGGTCAATGAGGAACAAGGTACATGGATGCACAGGTGTTGACCCAGATGTGGTGGTCAATGATGAACAAGGAACATGGATGCACAGGTGTTAACCCAGATGTGGTGGTCAATGATGAACAAGGTACATGGATGCACAGGTGTTGACCCAGATGTGGTGGTCAATGATGAACAAGGTACATGGATGCACAGGTGTTGACCCAGATGTGGTGGTCAATGATGAACAAGGTACATGGATGCACAGGTGTTGACCCAGATGTGGTGGTCAATGATGAACAAGGTACATGAATGCACAGGTGTTGACGCAGATGTGGTGGTCAATGATGAACAAGGTACATGGATGCACAGGCGTTGACCCAGATGTGGTGGTCAACGATGAACAAGGTACATGGATGCACAGGTGTTGACCCAGATGTGGTGGTCAATGATGAACAAGGTACATAGATGCACAGGTGTTGACCCAGATGTGGTGGTCAAGGATGAACAAGGTACATGGATGCACAGGTGTTGACCCAGATGTGGTGGTCAAAGATGAACAAGGTACATGAATGCACAGGTGTTGACCCAGATGTGGTGGTCAATGATGAACAAGGTACATGGATGCACAGGTGTTGACCCAGATGTGGTGGTCAATGATGAACAAGGTACATGGATGCACAGGTGTTGACCCAGATGTTGTGGTCAATGATGAACAAGGTACATTGATGCACAGGTGTTGACCAGATGTGGTTGTCAATGATGAATAAGGTACATGGATGCACAGGTGTTGACCGAGATGCGGTGGTCAATGATGAACAAGGTACATGGATGCACAGGTGTTGACCCAGGTGTGGTGGTGCAGCAGAATCTTACCGACGAAGACCCAATCACAGCTGTCCTCGGTCATCTTGGACATATTCTCCCAGCTAGGGGTCTGTTTCCTTCCACGTCGGAATCTCTGCTTGAGAGGCGAGGCACAAACAGCACTCGCACAAATAAGCTAGATCTGTAAAACAGCTGTGCACACTACTCGACTCCTAAAACACGACACAGGTCTAGAAGAGGACAAATAACTGAAGCTTTCAGTTGAAGTTTACGGCAGGGCCTGGCTCTCTAGCGTAGTTGGCTAAACCGGACTGCGCGGTGACCTGGTGACGAACTCCTTGTGGTCTGGGTTCACGCCCGGGGGTAGGCAGAAAAGCCACATTTCTCCCAGATTTAAGGTATTTACAATGGAATCAAGGCCAAAAGATTGCGATATCCATAATACCTAGCCTAAGGGTTAACAACTCGTGGCTTCTGGATACTAAAACAAACAAACAAACAAGTGTACGGCCGGTGAGCCGGAGAGTCGTTGAGCTGGATAGCCGAAGAGCCGGTGAGCGCTTAGAAAAAGACGATAAAGAAGAAACAGGAAGAGGATTAGCATGAGGAATAATAATAATAATAATAATAATAATAATAATAATAATAATAATAATAATAATAGGTAGAAGAAGAAGAAGAAAAAGAAGAAGAAGAAGAAAAAGAAGAAGAAGAACAATAACGAGAACAAGAAAAACAAGAAGAGGACGCTGACAAACAGCTTGAAAAGATTTGGCCGGGTGTCTCTACTCCCCTGGGAGTTAAGACACAGAAGAATTAACTCGTTTAGTTCCAGAATGAATGTTACTTCTGAACGTTTCTGTACGGAACTATACGTCCTCCGAATAAAGTTTGAAAACCACATTTATGGGGTGAAATTAGACTGAGTTTTATACTAATTTTGTTCTAATAGAATAGACGCTATAGTGCTCTTATTTTAAGAAGAATTTCTTGCTGATTTTGCTATACTTTTGCTTCCATTAGATTGATTAAAAAAAACATCTACCAGGCGTGACCAGGATTTTTGTGGTGAGAGGTTATCTAGAAAATATTCCAACGTCAGCATACCAACGTGGCACGCTAATTAATGTACACAGTCAGTTTTTGTACATCGTTAGCGTAGGTTAATGAGTGTTACCATCGCTAAAAGGAGTGAGAGAAGTCAGCAGAGAAAGTCATTCCCATTCACCGGCAATGAATTCTGGTGGAAAGTCCTGGCTGTTCTCAACGTCTAGAAACGGTCTTCATTCCAGGACTAACTTGCTTGCACAACGATTGGGCTTCTTTGCACGCAGACCACGGCTGCTTCCTGGCCTCTCAGACAGATGCACTCTGTCTTAAAAAGACACTTTTCCTCTTCACAGTGTGAGGAATGGAGAAGGCCCCTCACTGTAAATTACCTCAGGTTGTTTGTGTATGCGTGTGTGTGTGTGTGTATATATATATATATATATATATATATATATATATATATATATATGCGTGTGTGTGTGAGAGAGTGTTGGTGTGAAAAAGAGTGTGCATGTGTGTGTGACAGAGAAAAAGTGTGAGTGTGTCTGAGAGAGTGTGTGAGTAAAAGACTGTAAGAGAGAGAGAGAGAGAGAGAGAGAGAGAGAGTGTGTGTGTGTGTGTGTGTGTGTGACTGTGTCATCTCCGATGTAAAGGTTCATGGCAATTGGTAGGCTGCGCTAGGTTATTACTTTAACACAAAAACTCTGGGAGAGTTGATTAATACAGAAACTCTAGCATAGTTGGTAAATACAGAAACTCTACCCAGTGGGAGTTAATACAGAAACTCTGAGAGTGCGGATTAATACATAAACTCTAGCAGTGGGAGTTAATACAGAAACTCTACCAGTGGGAGTTAATACAGAAACTCTGAGAGTGCGGATTAATACAGAAACTCTGAGAGTACGGGTTAATACAGAAACTCTAGCAGTGGGAGTTAATACAGAAACTCTAGCAGTGGGAGTTAATACAGAAACTCTACCAGTGGGAGTTAATACAGAAACTCTAGCAGTGGGAGTTAATACAGAAACTCTGAGAGTGCGGATTAATACAGAAACTCTGAGAGTGCGGGTTAATACTGAAACTCTGAGATTGCGGGTTAATACAGAAACTCTAGCAGTGGGAGTTAATACAGAAACTCTAGCAGTGGGCGTTAATACAGAAACTCTGAGAGTGCGGGTTAATACAGAAACTCTAAGATTGCGGGTTAATACAGAAACTCTGAGATTGCGGGTTAATACAGAAACTCTGAGATTGCGGGTAAATACTGAAACTCTGAGAGTGCGGGTTAATACAGAAACTCTCAGATTGCGGGTTAATACAGAAACTCTGAGAGTACGGATTAATACTGAAACTCCAACAGTGGAAGTTAATACAGAAACTCTGAGAGTGCGGGTTAATACAGAAACTCTAGCAGTGGGAGTTAATACAAAAACTCTAGCAGTGGGGGTTAATACAGAAACTCTGAGAGTGTGGGTTAATACAGAAACTGTAGCAGTGGGAGTTAATACAAAAACTTTGAGAGTACGGGTTAATACAGAAACTCTAGCAGTGGGAGTTAATACATAAACTTTAAGAGTGCGGGTTAATATATAATCTCTAGCAGTGCGGGTTAATACAGAAACTCTGAGAGTGTGGGTCAATACAGAACCTCTTACATTGTTGGTTAGTCGTACCTAGAAATTGAAAAATATCATTTTTTTTCCTTTATCGTAATCTTTGCTGCCTATCTTGTAGATGAACTTGTCTATTTTTATAAGCAGTTTAAATTTATTAAATCTGATCAGCTGAATCTGACATATTTTGATTACAAATGGATGTATGTGGGTTGCTCAACGTCACCATGTGAGAGAAATTCAATCCTAAACAATGTACCACTCCCTTTTTCTGGGGGTCTTATTGTAAAAAACCGATTACTCTGACTTCCGACACCTAGTTTGATTTATGTGTTTAAAATCAGACTGTTATGTGTTTAGATTTAGATTTTTTTTGAAATTTTGTCAATATTTAGTTTGGAATTATGCCACCATTTCCAAAACAGAAGGGTTAAGTCCCAAAGAAATAGAAATAAATTTGCATCTGCTCCAAAGGGACTTGGCCCCGTGTTCTCAACCGTTCGCTCATCCAACCTATGAACACATGCTTTATAAAACATGCCTAGACATTGCTTGAAGGTAGTTTAAAACCCCTGATAATTATTGGTGGTAGAGGGGTCATGACCCCGCCCCCCCCCTCCCCTGAAAAGTGTTTAGGAGGTAAGGGATCGAACATTGATGATCGGGGAACCTTTGTTGTCTCCCTGACACCAGGTCGTAGCCCAGTGTCGTGGTTTTGTCGTCTCCCTAACACCAGATTATAGCCCAGTGTGAACGAACTTACGGATCAAGTATATCATCAATGGACAATCAACATAAAGATTAAAGTAATAACCTATCGCAGGTGTGGTTTTACACAAAAATTCTGAGAATTCCTTAAACAGCCAAACAGAAGCAATCCAGGTGTTTTGAAAAAGGCGAGTGTTGGAAGACAACTTGTCATAAACATTAGAAAGGAGACAGTCATAATTTGTTGGGGGACATGTTGTGAGAAGAATGAAACAGGAAAGATTTGCGGAGAAGGAAACACGACGAAGACAGCGAGAGAAGATTCTTGTCAGCCTTTTGTCATAGCCTGACCTAGTCATTTTTCTTGTATGAAGTTTCTTCGCCAGGGACACATATAAGTATAATTTATTTGTACATTATAGTCCTATGTAGTCACTCCATAGTTAGAGCATATTTGTGTATGTGTACTGTTTCGTCTTTTTATGTGCTGATGAAGGCTAATCGCCGCAACGTCCTTTGTTTTTTGTGATCGATTTTGTAAAGCTAACATACACTGTTTGTTGTTTCTTACCAACTTTTACTCTTCCCTATAATTTTCTACTCCTTCTAAAAACTGTCATAGCCTAGAAGAGTGTTTGCACATTAACTGAAGCTCGTACATACTGTTGAAGATCGCAGATTGTTGAGAGGCATGATCGCCCACGTCAGTCGACAAGGCATTTGATGATGATTATAGTATGAATATGGTACAAGAGCAGCCAGGCATACATTTGAAATGGGTCGCGTAGTTCAATGGACAGCACAAATACCTGCTTGTCCGAAAGGTGGTCGTGAGTGTGAATGTGTTCCAAGGAAGATTGTACAAGTTGACGTGGGATCTGGGCAGCCGCAGTAGCTAAACGACTAGACCAGTGTTCTTTAACTTGGGGCATGACGAAGTTTTTTAAAAAAAGGGAGGGGGGGGGGGTGGTATGGGGCAAGTAGTTTTAAAATCATCGCATCTGTATTTGTGGATCTGTTCACGTTTTTCGGTCCATCTACACACTTTCTCAGTCTGATCTAGGTCAGAGGGGTGCCACGTTGTACTGCTCTCTTCGTAAAGTTTCTCTCGTGAGACCGAGGATGAGGCGTCACGCGACATTTAAGGGAAAAACAGCCTGACACCCCTCCGACGTAGAAGTCTGAGAAAGTATGAATGAAAGGTCAGGTAGTGTGTTGATGGACCGGAAAACGTGAACAGGACCGTATTTGTAATAATCAGGATCTTTACCTTTAACAGTCATGAAAACAAAACGGTGCCGCCTGCTTCAGGAGGAGAGTGATCTCCGTTGTGCCTCGTCCAACAACAGACCAAAAATAGCAGATCTCTTTAAGACAGTGTTGACAATCACATTGACATTTGGAGACTATATCACCAGTTGTTGATTGTTTCGTTTGTTATTTGACACTTTGAATTATGTGAGTGCTTTTCTTCTAGTTCCTGTCAACAGTCATTTGTATTCATCTGTTTGTCCTTCTATTTTCAATCAAATTTAGTTATGTTGGTGGACAGCCGGGGAAGGGGAAAAGGGGAGGGGGGGGGGTGGAGGGGTGAATCGTATCTTATACTCAGAAAGAGGTGGGGGGGGGGGGTGGAGGGTTGAATCGTATCTTATACTCAGAAAGAGGGAGGAAGGGGGGGTGGGGGGCGCGAAACGGCTGCATGAAAAAGATTGCAGCCCACTAGTTTAAAAGCTTGCCTGTCACTCGACCTGACGAAAGTCTAAGCATCAAATCCGCATCCAGCCGAAGCGTTTTTTTCCCCTATTTAATTGACCTTGGCTCCCAGCTTAAAATTAACATCAAAGAAGTCAAGGGAAGTAAAGGCACCGCTTGTTAAACGTTTAGCCATATATAAGTTGCCTATGCCCAATATACCCATCCGCCAAAGTCGTTTTAAAAAAAAGTTCTTTACTTTGCTAAGAGCCCTGGTCGACAAGCCTACAGTAGGTACTGGGGAAGTGACCTTGACAATTAAAAAAAGGTCACAAGTTAAGACACTTTTCAACGCAATCAGACGTTTTTTGGGGCATCTATGGCTAGCCCTATATTTTACAGACCTGTCACTTTCTGTGTGATGTAAACAAGACTGAGACTGTTACTCAAGGCTGGATCCACCTGGGAGCCAAGGTCATTAAAAAAAAAAAAGTCTGGCTCCCTCGGGGTCCGAACCCACGACATTTAAATCCACAGGCGAGACTCTAGCCTCTATATTACGACGGTCCTCTTGAAAGTGAAGCCGGTTGTGTAAAACATCAGACCTACCCGTCACGATAAGTGTATTACTCTGTGAAGCACCGGCGGGTGCTAATTTCTTCTTCTAATTCAAGTCTGATCCTGAAATACTCTTAGCACCGGCGGGGATCCTGAAATACTTTGGGTAGACTTTTAACTCAAAATTTAGCCCGGGCAGCGCCGTTAGGCTTCTTTTTTCGATTTGCAACAGTGTTACGTGCGAAAGAATGCACACGGGCGTCCCATCTCATTACACAGAGACAGGGGGAACTACTAGAAGTCAAAGTCCTCGTGAAAAAAGCCCAGCTCTTACCCGGTATTGAACCTGGAACCTCCAGCATTCGAGGCGGACATTATGCCTCAAGACCACGCAGCCTCCCTATTACAATTTTGAGCTATTGCCATATCCCAATGTGCTTTACAGCTATATAGACGCTTCAAGTTTCATACATATTTAAATCTATTTCGTTCTTAAATATAGAGGAATTTCCCCAAGCTCCTGTCGTTGACTCTATGATTGTGTATATATGTGAAAATACACTAGAAAAGGTAGTTGAATATGTCGTTTGATTACACAACCTTGCAGCTTTCCGAACCTTTGAATGCGCCTGGTTTGGTTAGCCTTAGGGACAAAAACCGTTCACCTGAGCTTGTCACGTCACGGAGGAAAGAATGTTCTACCTGAGATAAATGCAGCTGAAGAGAAATTATAGTAAATATAATGTTTGATGAAGTAAATAATGCGTGTATGCACTTCGCTCGGAAACGCATGAGTTGTTCCGAAAAGAGTTTCGACATTTGTAAGGGAAAGTAATTTTTGCAAATTACATACTTATACATGTTTTATTTGGAACAAACTGTGGACTCCCCGTCAAAGGAAACAATGGCAACACTGTAACTTACCATGCATGTCGTAAGATGCTGTAAACTGAGCTAGTGGGAGCCCGGCTAACTCATTGAGCAGAAAACTTGAGCTGTAAAATGCAAACATTGGTGGACAAAGGGCTCGTCATGAGTTGGTTGACGGCCTAAGCTTCATGATTAGATGACTGGCAGTAAAAAGGAGCAGTTGCTGAGAATAATAACACAAACAATAAAAAATTAGCAGAATAACAGTAAGAATAATAATAATAATAATAATAATAATAATAACAATAATAATAATAATAATAATAATAATAATCAGAAGAAGCAGGAGAAGAAGAAGAAGAAGAAGAAGAAGAAGAAGAAGAAGAAGAAGAAGAAGAAGAAGAAGAAGAAGAAGAAGAAGAAGAAGAAGAAGAAGAAGAAGAAGAAGAAGAAGAAGAAGAAGAAGAAGAAGAAGAAGAAGAAGAAGAAGAAGAAGAAGAAGAAGAAGAAGAAGAAGAAGAAGAAGACATTTTTTTTTGCAGCAAGTCATGTTTGTAAGGGTTAAAAAAAATGTTTTTTTTCTCTGAGGTGCCAATAAATATGAACTGCTATGTGGTTTACATGTTTATTATTTTTATATGACTTTATAGGCAGAGCCCGATGAGATTTGCTATTTTCAAGACGACCCTAAAACAGAGAAAAACATAGCTGGCTGGACGTAACATACCAATTCTTTCTTGCTGACATTAAATGAACAAGACTTATTGGAGAATCTAAATTTCGTCACATGAATTGCATCCTTTACTCAATTCCCATCCTGAATTGCTTGTCTCGCATCTTTCTGAGGTTATCTCTTCAAATATTTGAATATATTCTTTCTTTTGAGTGTTTTTCTTTCTGTTTTAACCGCATTTTTGAGTACACACGAGGTAGGTTAAAAGTTGACCTAGCTTACGAACCAAACTCAGACATGTGTGTTTAGTTCAGCAGTAAAAAATCGCAGTTATAACCAGTACATTTGAAACGATGCAGAATGTGTTAAAGTCAACGATCTAACAATGTCATTCAAGTTCCTGACCTCAGCACCTCCTCACAGTTCCTCTCTTTTGTATTAGCTTATAA